GAGGGCACGAAACCCGGAAGGTGACCACGCCCTGCAGCGCTAGCCGCCGCTGCTGCTGCTACTGCTTCGCTGCTCGCCCGAGCATGGCCTTCCTCCTCGGGCCCGGCCGGCTCTGATGGGCCCGATGATGGGCAAGGCCACCAGGGCCACCACCACCACCAACAGGCCCACCACCACCACCACCACCATCAGGACCACCACGACCACCTGGACCAAGCACAAACAGGATCGGGTTAATGCAACCCCCTCTGAGAGTGGTGGACGCGCGCAGCCCGCCGCCGCCCCACCCTAGCACTAGCCCTAGCACTCACTCTATCCGCTCTGAGCCGTTGCCTGCTGCGCTCTGCTGCAACACAGCGAGCGATGTGATGATAAAGCCCGCGCCGCGAAAGGCGCAGAATTAAAAGTTAATAAATAATCACCAAAGCAAACCCATAGGGGGAGAAGTACTTCAACTTTTCCGCAGTTTTCAGTGGACCAAAAATTTTGTCGGGAAAGCCCAAATTTGAGATTTGCATTTTAAAAATCCAAATCAGACTATGAACCCTGCCGCCCTAAACTTTCTTTTACAATTAGATACATCTCCAGTGATGACAAATGTCGCGATCCCGTCGTCGGCTCTCCCGCCCAAATACTTCCGCCAACTCTTTCAAGTTAAGTTATTGTAAAGCTCATTTATTGCGGCGGTGGCGTGGCGGCGATCAAAGTGTTGTTGCTACGCACACAGAGGCAGAGGACGAAGCCAGAAATGTTAAGCCCCCTTCGGGTTGGAAGCCCTGGAAAGTTCCCGGAAAATTTCCGGAAAATTTCTGAGAAAAAAAAAAAAAATCTTCCACACTTTGCAAATTTTTAGTAATGTCCCGGCCCGGTGATTTTTCAGGAATTTTTCGAAAATTTTCCGGAAAACTTTGGACATTGCCAACTTCAACCCCCTCCAAGGACTAGTTTGGCCATACACATAGTTCGGGAGTTTGCACCGGAGGGGCTGATGCAGCGGAGGCCCGGCTCTATGCGGACCAGACGCGCAAACAGAATAAGGACGGGCGCAATAGCAGGCGCCAGCAAATACGAGGCGTGGGGAGGGAGGGGAGAGGGAGAGGGGGAGGAGAGAGGGGAGAGGGGGAGGAGAGAGGGGAGAGGGGTTAATCTGACGCACCGTTTGCTTGCCGTTGCTGCTATGCAGCTCGCGCTGCTGTGCCCACCGTGTCAGAGTCAGGTCCACAAACAACCCCCGCCCCTTGCCAATTTTTATTTCGAATATTATCTTTTATTTGGAAAGAAACGAATTGCGCTCTGGTGACGGCAGCGCGACGACACAGCAAGACACTCGTTATTGTCCAATTTCGCAAACGGTAGGAGCGATAAGTAGTAGTACAGCAGAGAGGGGGGAGCGGTATGGCGTTGGTATCACACACTTGAAAGAATCAGAATGGCCAGCCAAAGCGAGTGGTCCGG